GAGCCGGATGGCACGCTGGTAGGTGGGCACTGGATGAGTGTGAGCGACATGTTAGTGCGGCAGGAGCTGGTTTCAGAGCCGGATGCCACGCTGGTAGGTGGGCACTGGATGAGTGTGAGCGACATGTTAGTGCGGCAGGAGCTGGTTTCAGAGCCGGATGGCACGCTGGTAGGTGGGCACTGGATGAGTGTGAGCGACATGTTAGTGCGGCAGGAGCTGGTTTCAGAGCCGGATGCCACGCTGGTAGGTGGGCACTGGATGAGTGTGAGCGACATGTTAGTGCGGCAGGAGCTGGTTTCAGAGCCGGATGCCACGCTGGTAGGTGGGCACTGGATGAGTGTGAGCGACATGTTAGTGCGGCAGGAGCTGGTTTCAGAGCCGGATGGCACGCTGGTAGGTGGGCACTGGATGAGTGTGAGCGACATGTTAGTGCGGCAGGAGCTGGTTTCAGAGCCGGATGCCACGCTGGTAGGTGGGCACTGGATGAGTGTGAGCGACATGTTAGTGCGGCAGGAGCTGGTTTCAGAGCCGGATGCCACGCTGGTAGGTGGGCACTGGATGAGTGTGAGCGACATGTTAGTGCGGCAGGAGCTGGTTTCAGAGCCGGATGCCACGCTGGTAGGTGGGCACTGGATGAGTGTGAGCGACATGTTAGTGCGGCAGGAGCTGGTTTCAGAGCCGGATGCCACGCTGGTAGGTGGGCACTGGATGAGTGTGAGCGACATGTTAGTGCGGCAGGAGCTGGTTTCAGAGCCGGATGGCACGCTGGTAGGTGGGCACTGGATGAGTGTGAGCGACATGTTAGTGCGGCAGGAGCTGGTTTCAGAGCCGGATGGCACGCTGGTAGGTGGGCACTGGATGAGTGTGAGCGACATGTTAGTGCGGCAGGAGCTGGTTTCAGAGCCGGATGGCACGCTGGTAGGTGGGCACTGGATGAGTGTGAGCGACATGTTAGTGCGGCAGGAGCTGGTTTCAGAGCCGGATGCCACGCTGGTAGGTGGGCACTGGATGAGTGTGAGCGACATGTTAGTGCGGCAGGAGCTGGTTTCAGAGCCGGATGCCACGCTGGTAGGTGGGCACTGGATGAGTGTGAGCGACATGTTAGTGCGGCAGGAGCTGGTTTCAGAGCCGGATGCCACGCTGGTAGGTGGGCACTGGATGAGTGTGAGCGACATGTTAGAGCGGCAGGAGCTGGTTTCAGAGCCGGATGCCACGCTGGTAGGTGGGCACTGGATGAGTGTGAGCGACATGTTAGTGCGGCAGGAGCTGGTTTCAGAGCCGGATGGCATGCTGGTAGGTGGGCACTGGATGAGTGTGAGCGACATGTTAGTGCGGCAGGAGCTGGTTTCAGAGCCGGATGCCACGCTGGTAGGTGGGCACTGGATGAGTGTGAGCGACATGTTAGTGCGGCAGGAGCTGGTTTCAGAGCCGGATGGCACGCTGGTAGGTGGGCACTGGATGAGTGTGAGCGACATGTTAGTGCGGCAGGAGCTGGTTTCAGAGCCGGATGCCACGCTGGTAGGTGGGCACTGGATGAGTGTGAGCGACATGTTAGTGCGGCAGGAGCTGGTTTCAGAGCCGGATGCCACGCTGGTAGGTGGGCACTGGATGAGTGTGAGCGACATGTTAGTGCGGCAGGAGCTGGTTTCAGAGCCGGATGGCACGCTGGTAGGTGGGCACTGGATGAGTGTGAGCGACATGTTAGTGCGGCAGGAGCTGGTTTCAGAGCCGGATGCCACGCTGGTAGGTGGGCACTGGATGAGTGTGAGCGACATGTTAGTGCGGCAGGAGCTGGTTTCAGAGCCGGATGCCACGCTGGTAAGTGGGCACTGGATGAGTGTGAGCGACATGTTAGTGCGGCAGGAGCTGGTTTCAGAGCCGGATGCCACGCTGGTAGGTGGGCACTGGATGAGTGTGAGCGACATGTTAGTGCGGCAGGAGCTGGTTTCAGAGCCGGATGGCACGCTGGTAGGTGGGCACTGGATGAGTGTGAGCGACATGTTAGTGCGGCAGGAGCTGGTTTCAGAGCCGGATGGCACGCTGGTAGGTGGGCACTGGATGAGTGTGAGCGACATGTTAGTGCGGCAGGAGCTGGTTTCAGAGCCGGATGCCACGCTGGTAGGTGGGCACTGGATGAGTGTGAGCGACATGTTAGTGCGGCAGGAGCTGGTTTCAGAGCCGGATGCCACGCTGGTAGGTGGGCACTGGATGAGTGTGAGCGACATGTTAGAGCGGCAGGAGCTGGTTTCAGAGCCGGATGCCACGCTGGTAGGTGGGCACTGGATGAGTGTGAGCGACATGTTAGTGCGGCAGGAGCTGGTTTCAGAGCCGGATGCCACGCTGGTAGGTGGGCACTGGATGAGTGTGAGCGACATGTTAGTGCGGCAGGAGCTGGTTTCAGAGCCGGATGGCATGCTGGTAGGTGGGCACTGGATGAGTGTGAGCGACATGTTAGTGCGGCAGGAGCTGGTTTCAGAGCCGGATGCCACGCTGGTAGGTGGGCACTGGATGAGTGTGAGCGACATGTTAGTGCGGCAGGAGCTGGTTTCAGAGCCGGATGGCACGCTGGTAGGTGGGCACTGGATGAGTGTGAGCGACATGTTAGTGCGGCAGGAGCTGGTTTCAGAGCCGGATGCCACGCTGGTAGGTGGGCACTGGATGAGTGTGAGCGACATGTTAGTGCGGCAGGAGCTGGTTTCAGAGCCGGATGCCACGCTGGTAGGTGGGCACTGGATGAGTGTGAGCGACATGTTAGTGCGGCAGGAGCTGGTTTCAGAGCCGGATGGCACGCTGGTAGGTGGGCACTGGATGAGTGTGAGCGACATGTTAGTGCGGCAGGAGCTGGTTTCAGAGCCGGATGCCACGCTGGTAGGTGGGCACTGGATGAGTGTGAGCGACATGTTAGTGCGGCAGGAGCTGGTTTCAGAGCCGGATGCCACGCTGGTAAGTGGGCACTGGATGAGTGTGAGCGACATGTTAGTGCGGCAGGAGCTGGTTTCAGAGCCGGATGCCACGCTGGTAGGTGGGCACTGGATGAGTGTGAGCGACATGTTAGTGCGGCAGGAGCTGGTTTCAGAGCCGGATGGCACGCTGGTAGGTGGGCACTGGATGAGTGTGAGCGACATGTTAGTGCGGCAGGAGCTGGTTTCAGAGCCGGATGGCACGCTGGTAGGTGGGCACTGGATGAGTGTGAGCGACATGTTAGTGCGGCAGGAGCTGGTTTCAGAGCCGGATGCCACGCTGGTAGGTGGGCACTGGATGAGTGTGAGCGACATGTTAGTGCGGCAGGAGCTGGTTTCAGAGCCGGATGGCACGCTGGTAGGTGGGCACTGGATGAGTGTGAGCGACATGTTAGTGCGGCAGGAGCTGGTTTCAGAGCCGGATGGCACGCTGGTAGGTGGGCACTGGATGAGTGTGAGCGACATGTTAGAGCGGCAGGAGCTGGTTTCAGAGCCGGATGCCACGCTGGTAGGTGGGCACTGGATGAGTGTGAGCGACATGTTAGTGCGGCAGGAGCTGGTTTCAGAGCCGGATGGCACGCTGGTAGGTGGGCACTGGATGAGTGTGAGCGACATGTTAGTGCGGCAGGAGCTGGTTTCAGAGCCGGATGCCACGCTGGTAGGTGGGCACTGGATGAGTGTGAGCGACATGTTAGTGCGGCAGGAGCTGGTTTCAGAGCCGGATGCCACGCTGGTAGGTGGGCACTGGATGAGTGTGAGCGACATGTTAGAGCGGCAGGAGCTGGTTTCAGAGCCGGATGCCACGCTGGTAGGTGGGCACTGGATGAGTGTGAGCGACATGTTAGTGCGGCAGGAGCTGGTTTCAGAGCCGGATGGCACGCTGGTAGGTGGGCACTGGATGAGTGTGAGCGACATGTTAGTGCGGCAGGAGCTGGTTTCAGAGCCGGATGGCACGCTGGTAGGTGGGCACTGGATGAGTGTGAGCGACATGTTAGTGCGGCAGGAGCTGGTTTCAGAGCCGGATGGCACGCTGGTAGGTGGGCACTGGATGAGTGTGAGCGACATGTTAGTGCGGCAGGAGCTGGTTTCAGAGCCGGATGGCACGCTGGTAGGTGGGCACTGGATGAGTGTGAGCGACATGTTAGTGCGGCAGGAGCTGGTTTCAGAGCCGGATGCCACGCTGGTAGGTGGGCACTGGATGAGTGTGAGCGACATGTTAGTGCGGCAGGAGCTGGTTTCAGAGCCGGATGGCACGCTGGTAGGTGGGCACTGGATGAGTGTGAGCGACATGTTAGTGCGGCAGGAGCTGGTTTCAGAGCCGGATGCCACGCTGGTAGGTGGGCACTGGATGAGTGTGAGCGACATGTTAGTGCGGCAGGAGCTGGTTTCAGAGCCGGATGGCGCGCGTCTGCGACTGGAACGGTCAATGGGGCAGAGTGGGGGAGTGTCAAGCTTAGTGGCAAAAGACGCGTCCTGCGTCTAAGACGAGTGCGTCCAGACGCAGCGTCTTAGACGCAGGACGCATGATGTGGGCCTTTGAGACGCAGCAAAAGACGCAGGCCCGGGCAGGGCAAAAGAAGCCCCCGGGCAGCCAAAAAAACACGTTATAGGGCATGGGAAGGGGGGGGAGGACGACGTATCACACATGTGAGGCAAAAACATAGCTATGGAGCGAAAGGTAGCTAAACCCTCAAGGGTTTACGAAGGAGAATTGTGTGTGGGCTGTTTTTGATGGTCGAAATGGGTCTGGGGGTCGAAATTTCGCGACATTGACATTCGCGTCGAAATCGCGAATGTCAACTTCGCGATCGGGAAACAAAACAAAAAAAATCCGGTCAGCCCGAAAAAAATTATGCCGTGCGTCCTGCGTCCGGACGCTGGGTCCAGACGCAGGACGCATGACGCGCCCAGCGTCTTTTGCCACTTAGGTGTCAAGTCAAAGCAATGTCTTGGAGAGGCTTCGAAGCTGTTTCACTCCCCCACTCTCCCTGCTCGTCTCACTTCTTTCCCCCTGCCCTCCTGTTTGTCTCTTGTCCCCAGGTGGTGTCGACGGGAGCGGACGGGCTGCTGAAGCTGTGGAGTGTGAAGGGTGGGGAGTGTGTCAACACGTTTGACGAGCACGAGGATAAGGTGAGAACAGAGGGGGCAGGGAGAGGAGGGGGGTAGGGATGGCGAGTTGGATACGGTTTTTTTCAAACAGATTTGCGCGGGGTCGTGGGAATTTGCTGCTCTTTGACTGGCACTGCACCGCATTGCATCACATTGCATCGGTGCCAACACATTGATCTCGCGGCAAAATCACCAAAACGTCCTTTTTGCATTCCCCTTTTTCACTTCCCCCTTCCCCCTTCCCTCCTCCCCCTTTCCCCTTTCGTGTTCCCCCCCCCCCTTTTCCTCTCTCCGCCTCCCATGGGCCCTCAGGTATAGGTGCTGGCAGAGAGCCGTTTTGAGACGTCTCAAAACATTTCTTTTATCTCAGCGTCAGAGATCCTGGCGACACAACCATTCCCCCCATCCTGGTCTCTCTCCTCCCCCCACCCCCGCCGTCTCCCCCCTCCCCCGTTGCCCGCCCCCTACTTTCTCTCTCCCCTTCCCGGTCTCTCCCCCCTTACCCCCATCTCCCCACCTCTCTATGCCCGCAGATATGGGCACTGGCAGTGAGTCCAGGGTCGGAGATGCTGGCGACACAACTGCCCCACCACCCCCCCCCCCCTCTCCCCCCCCCCCCCCCCTCCACCAACCCCCACTTCACCACCAAAACCCTCCCCCTTCCCCCCCACCCCCGGTCTCCCCCTTCCCCCCATCTCCCCCAACTCCGCGTCTCACAGATATGGGCGCTAGCAGTGAGTCCAGGGTCAGAGATGCTGGCGACAGGTGGCAGCGACTCTTTGGTGCACGTGTGGCAGGACTGCACGCAGCAGGAGCAGCAAGAGGCCGCCCTGGAGCAGGTGAGGGGCGTGCTGTGGTACACTCTGTACTCGTTATGGAGCAGTTTGGAGAGGACTGTGTTGTGCTGCACTCTGTACGCGTGGTAAAGCAGGACTGTAGCTGAGGACTCTCGCCCTCCCTCTCCCTGCCCAAGGCTCACTCCCTCCTCCCCTCTCCTCCTCCGCCCCTCTCTCACCTCAAATGAAGGCAGCGCAGCAGGAGCAGGCAATGCAAAATGCGGCTGTAGGTAGCCACTATGTGACACCACTCTCCCTCTTTCCCAACCCGCCTCCTTTTTCCGCGACGCAACCCTTTCATATTCCCAGGTAAGGCAGTGCAGCAGAAGCAGGCGATGCGCAACGCGGCTGTAGCGGAGGACTATGTGACGGCGCAACAACTGGTGCAGCAGAATGTGGCTGTATTAATCACTCTCTTTACCCTCCCGCCCCACACAGGTCAAGGCAGTACAGCAGGAGCAGGCGATGCGCAACGCAGCTGTAGCGGAGGACTATGTGACGGCGCTACAGCTGGCGCTGCAGCTGCAGCGACCCGCCACCATGGCCGCCCTGCTCTCTGACCTCATGAAGTGAGTCGGTTGGTGATGCACAGACGGTTGAAAGGATTTCGTAGCTTGGCATATTGAACTGCTGTTGAGGCCTCTCCACTGCAGCTGCAGCGACCCGCCACCATGGCCGCCAGCACTGCTCTCTGACCTCATCAAGTGAGTCCGCTGCTGTCCACGCTGTGTGACCCTCTGTGTATGTGTGACTCGGTGTGTGAGTGTGAGTGTGAGTGTGAGTGTGAGTGTGTGTGTGAGTGTGTGTGTGAGTGTGTGTGTGAGTGTGTGTGTGAGAGTGTGTGTGAGTGTGTGTGTGAGTGTGTGTGCACGCGCACGCCACGCTGCAGCTGCAGCGACCCGCCACCATGGCCGCCACGCCAGCACTGCTCTCCGACCTCATCAAGTGAGTCCGCTGCTTGATGTATCCACTCTATCGGAACACTCCCCTTCACCCTACCTCTCCCCTTACGCCCTCCCCACTGTTCTCCCCATGGCAGGAAGGAGGGGGCGGAGGAGAGGATAGGAGGGGCGGTAGCAGGGTTGGAACCTTCACAGCTGCGGCAGCTGCTGCTGTACGCGCGCGAGTGGAACACAAACGCTAAGCTGTGCTTGTCGGCGCAACGCTTGCTGGCTGCAGTGTTGAAGCACCACCCCCCAGCAACGCTGATGCAGGTAGGGGACTGGGTAAGACTGAATGAATAGAAGGAGCAGCAGCTGCTGCTGCTGTATGCTCGCGAGTGGAATACCAACACCAAGCTGTGCTTGTCCGCTCAGAGACTGCTGGTGGCTGTGCTGAGGCACCGCCCTCCATCAGCCCTCATGCAGGTAGGGGATAAGGTGAAGTGAAGGCAGTGAGCAGCTGGGGCATCTGCTGCTGTATGCGCACGAGTGGAACACCAACACCAAGCTCTGCCTCTCGGCTCAGAGGCTTCTGGCAGCTGTGCTGAAGCACCACCCTCCATCAGCTTTAATGCAGGTAGGGACTGGGAGAGGAGGAAGGGAGGACGGAAGGGAGGGTGGGGGCTTGGGGGGGATATAGGAACAAAACCAATCAGAGGCAGCTGCTGCTATATGCGCGCGAGTGGAACACCAATGCCAAGCTGTGTCCCTCTCGGCCCAGAGACTGCTTGCGGCTGTGTTGAGGCACCACACTCCCCCCTCGCTCATACCCCCCTGCTATTACATTTTTTCCCACCAATCCCCAACTGCCACGTCACGCAGATCCCAGGAATCGGGGAGATTCTGGACGGGCTGCAGCCATACACGCAGCGCCACCTGGCGCGTCTCGAGCGCGTGTTGCGGAGCTCCTACCTCGTTGACTACACCCTCGCCGCCCTCACCATGCTACAGCCGACCGCTGACCTGGCGGTGCATGCTGACGTGGTGCTACAGCCGGGTGCTGAGCTGGCGCTGATGGGCGGCAAAGCCCCCCTGGCGCTACAGGCCAAAGCTGCCGCCAAGGAGAGGCCATCTGGTCTGGAAGTATTGAAGGAGAAGGCGAGGAGGGAGAGTGAGAGGAGGGAAAGAGGTGAGAGGAGGGGAGGGGAGGAGGGGAAGGGAGATGGGAGTGAGAAGGGAGGAGGGGAGTATAGCGAGGTGGATGCTGCTATGAAGATGTGGAGGTATCTGGAGAGTAAGAGAGAGGAGGGGTTGAAGGGGAAGGAGGGTAAGGGAGAGGGGGAGGAAGAGGAGAGGGAGGATGGGGAAGAGAAGTTGGAGGAAGGGGAAGAGGATTTGGAGGAAGGAGAGGAGGAAAGGGAAGATGGAGAGGAGAATGGGGAAGTAGAGGGGAGTGAGGAGGACGAGGAAGAAGGTGGGGAAGAGGAAGGAGAGGAGGCAGGGGAGGAAGAGTCAGAGGAAGAGATAGAAGAAGAGGAAGAGGAAGGAGAGGAAGGGGAAGAGGAAGGAGAGGAAGGGGAAGAGGAGGACGCAGGAGAAGAGGCAGAAGAAGAAGCAGAAGGGACAGGGGAGGAGGAAGAGAGCGAATCAGAGGAGGAGGAGGAGGAGGAGCACCGTGGCAGGCAGGCAAGAGTCCAAGCCACGGTGCACAAGGGAAAGGGGGGGGTTGAGAAGCGAATGAGCGCGGCACACAAAGGTCCGGCGGCACAGAAGCGTGTTTCCAAGAGCAAAGCACAGGCAGCAGCAGGACATGCTGTGCCTAGCAAGAAGCAGAGGATGAGATGATGTTGCGTGACAGGTGACATTAGATCCAGGTGACTTTATAGTTGACTCAAAAGTCGCAAAGCACAGGCAGCAGCTGGACATGCTGTGCCTAGCAAGAAGCAGAGGATGAGATGATGTTGCGTGACAGGTGACTCTTGAGGCGACTTTTGAGTCGACTCAAAAGTCGCAAAGCACAGTCAGCAGCAGCAGCACATGCTGTGCAGAGCGAGAAGCAGAGGATGAGATTATGTGCTTGCTGCTAGGGCTTCTCCCAAGGGTGTTATCGAGTGAATTGTTGATAGCACTACAATGGCTACCAGTTGTCCAGGTTTCCTCCCGTGGATCCCTTCTGTTAACAATAGCGCAAGGGTATTGGCTTGGCATACAAGTGTCCTGGGACAAGTTTCTTAAGCACCAATCGAGTGCGCATGGACTCGGAGGGTTTCGGCCTGTCTGAATGTCTGACAGACAACCCAAAACGCCCTGATTTCCTGCCACTGCCAGGAGGGGGGAATTAGAGTTGAATTATGTCAAAACTGCCATGGTTTCAGAGCAGGTCCTTCCGTAGGACCGATTTTTTTTTTTTAGGGCCCACCACATAGCTGCCCCACTAGCTGCTTGCGGCCCGCTCGCCGCCCTTAGGCCCACTCACCGCCCTTGCGGCCCGCTCGCCGCCCTTGCAGCCTGCTCGCTGCCCTTACGGCCCGCTCGCCGCCACTGCAGCCCGCTCGCCGCTCGCTTGCGGCCCGCGCACCGCCCCTGCAGCCCGCTCGCCGCCCGCCTGCGGCCCACTAGCCGCCCTTGCGGACCGCTCGCCGCCCCTGCAGCCTGCTCGCCGCCCTCTTGCGGCCCGCGCGCCGCCCATTGCAGCCCGCTCGCCGCCCCTTGCGGCCCGCTCGCCGCCCCTTGCAGCCCGCTCGCCGCCCTCTGTCAGCCGGCCCGCCGCCCTTTTCTGCTGGCCGCCCTAGCCGTGCGCCACCCTGCCCTGCCTTGCGCACTTCCCTCGTGCTCGCGTGCCGCCCTATCTGTGTGTTGCTCTGCTGGTTGTACGCCACCCTGTTCTGTCCGATATGGCTTCTCTCACTGTACTCACGTTCGATCCAGTTCGATACGTGGCTCGACGATTTATAGCTGTACCTACTGAGCGATTCTAGAGACAGCGTTTCGTTGTTTGACCACACGTCTGGAGCCTCTCTCGCCCCTCCCGCCACAGCTGACAGTGCGACTCGCTCACAGTGGCTTACCCGTGACGCTGCTGCTCGCTTAGCCGTTCGCAACCACCTGCCGTTAGCCGAACGCGCTCACTTCGGACAGCACAAGACTGCTACAGCACTGTACGACGCTGTAGTCGCCCGTTACTCCTCCCCTGGCACTGCTGCTCTAGGCCGTCTTCTACTGCCCTACCTCTTTCCCGAGCTGTCCGTCTTTGCCATCGTAGAGGACCTCGTTACCCACCTTCGCATTAGTGACGTTGGCTACCGCGCTGCCCTTCCAGCAGAGTTCCTTGACAGGAACCCCCTTCCCCCCGCGATGTACATCACTCTCTACTTCATAGTCACCCGCCTCCCTGACTCTCTTCGCGCAGTCAGTGACCACTTTCTCACACTTGACCCCACAGCCCTCAATGTCGACCTGCTCGAGCAGCACCTCTTTGCAGCTGAGAGTAGCGTAGTCGCTGTAGGTGCCGCTCGTGGCACTCCTCACACGCCCTTCTTTGAGGGGTGTTCCCCCTCCCCCCTTGCCCCCTCCTACACCTCTGCTGCTGCTGCTGTTGACATCCTTGGTGCTGCGGATGTCGGGGCTGCTTCTGCTGTTAGTGGGAAGCGCCGCAACAGCAAGGGCAAGGGTGACAAGGGTGGTGGCGGTGGCAGCGGGTGCTTAGGCCTGGAGTTGATATCTTTGCTCTTGACTATGATGCTATCCTTGCTGCTATGTATGCCTTGTCTGTTAGTGCTGAGGGTGACTGTTACCTGTGTGTGCCGCTTGACCCAGGTATAGAGGCTGCTGCTCTAAGTGCTAGTGAGTCTGATCTCCCTGGTACTGCGCCTGCTGCGGCCTTGCACACCTTTACGCTTGACTCAGGTGCTTCCCACTGTTTCTTTCGCGACAGTACCACCCTCACTCCTCTCTCTGCACCTGTACTAGTCAGACTGGCTGACCCCTCAGGGGGCCCGGTTCTTGCCCGTTCCTCCACTGTTCTCCCGTGTCCGGCGGTTCCGTCCGGCTCACTCTCAAGTCTTCACCTCCCCTCGTTCTCTATGAACTTGGTGAGTACCACTGCCCTCCAGGATGCGATGGTCACTACCACCACTCCTGGGGGTCAGTGTGTGTCGATCTGCACATGTACACGGATGGGCCATCACCTGGCCACGTTCATCCATCGGCCTGGGTCGAGTCTGTATACACGAACTACCAAGCCTCCTCAGGTAGCTGCGTCTGCCCAGGTGTCCGCGTCAGGTCCGGTAGCACCCCCCTGCTCGTGTCGCCTCCTTTCGCACCAGACCCTCATGTGGCACCACCGCCTTGGTCACCCCTCCCTGCCACGCCTTCGTGGCATGCACTCCCGCCTCCTTGTTTCTGGTCTTCCCAGGTCTCTACCTCCCCTCCCGCCCTCGCCTGCCCCGCCTTGCCTTCCTTGCGTTGAGGGGCGGCAGCGCGCCGCTCCTCAATCCTCCTCGTTTCCCCCGACGACTGCTCCCCTGCAGACTCTCCACATGGACGTGTGGGGCCCAGCCCGCGTCAGTGGACAGGACCGCGAGCGCTACTTCCTGCTGGTTGTTGACGACTACATGCGTTACACCACGGTCTTCCCCTTGTGCAATAAGGGTGAGGTCCCTGATGTCTTGATCCCTTGGATCCGTGCAGTCCGTCTCCAGCTTTGCGAGCGGTTCCGCGAGGACCTTCCTGTCCTGCGTCTGCACTCTGAGAGAGGTGATGAGTTCTCCTCCAACCTCTTGCGGGAATTTTGTCGTGGGGAGGGCATCCTCGAGTCGTTCACGCTTCCGACCTCCTTGCAGCAAAATGGGATTGCTGAGCGCCGCATTGGCTTAGTCATGGAGTTGACTCGTACCTCCATGATCCATGCGGCTGCTCCCCATTTTCTGTGGCCGTTTGCGGTCCTGTACGCTGCGCATCAGCTCAACCTCTGGCCCCGTGTCTCCTTGCCGGAGACCTCGCCTACACTGCGTTGGACGGGGAAGGTTGGCGATGCGTCAGTGTTCCGGGTCTGGGGCTCTCGTGCCTTTGTTCGCGATACTTCCGTGGACAAGCTCTCCTCCCGCTTTCTTGGCTTCCTTGGCTTTCCCCCTGACACGCCTGGCTGGCAGTTTTACCACCCCACCTTGCGCCGTGTCCTCCCCTCTCAGGACTTCACGTTTGACGAGTCGGTTACCTTTTACCGTCTCTTCCCCTACCGCACTGCCCCTCTCCCCCCCCCCGCCGCTCTTCTTTGCTCCAGGTCCCCCTCCGGTAGATCCCCTCCCCCCTCAGGGTCCTGCTCCCTCAGGTGTGTCTCAGGTAGACCCACTCACCAGAAATGTGCCTGTTGAGATCGCTGTAGACTCAGGTGCTGCTAGAGGTGCTGCGTCTGGGGTTGCTGTGTCTAGGGGTGCTGCGTCTGGGGGTGCTGAGCCTACGAGTGTGAAGCCTGGGGGTGATGAGCCTGAGGGTGCGGAGCCTGGGGGTGCTGAGCCTGTGGGTGCGGAGCCTGGGGGTGCTGAGTCTGAGGGTGCGGCGTCTGGGGGTGCTGAGCATGGGGGTGCGAAGCCTAGGGGTACTGAGCCTGAGGGTGCGGGGCCTGGGGGTGCTGATTCTGAGGGTGCGGAGTCTGGGGGTGCTGAGCCTAAGGGTACTGCATCTGCTGGAGGTCCTGCGGGTGCCTCGCCACGACTGTCTCCTCGGTGGGAGCCTCTCTCACCGCAACAGCTGCGCGAGTGGTTTGCTCAGCACACACGCCTTAGGAGTGGAGCTGTAGGAGCTGGAGGCTCTGCTACTGGAGGCACTGGAGCTGGAGGTGCTGGAGCTACTAGTCTTGGAGGTGCTGGAGTTATTGCTGGAGCTGGAGGTACCGGAGGTGCTGGAGCTGCTGGTCCTGGAGGTGCTCGTACTAGAGGTACTGGAGCTGCTGGGGCTGGTGGTGTTGGAGGCGCTGGAGCTAGAGACCCTGGAGCTGGAGACACTGGTGCTGGAGGCACTGGAGCTGGAGGAGCTGGGGCTGGAGACTCTGGCGCTGGAGGCGCTGGAGCTGGAGGCACTGGCGGCGCTGGAGCTGGTGGAGCTGGAGCTGGAGACTCTGACGCTGGAGGCGCTAGGGCTGGAGGCGTTGGAGCTGGAGACCCTGGAGCTGGAGGCGCTAGAGCTGTCGACCCTAGATCTGGAGACCCTGGAGCTGGAGGTGCTGGCGCTGAGGGTGCTGCGTCTGGCGGTACTGGTGCTAGAGGCACTGTGCAACGGCGACCGTTTTTCGTTCCGCCGCCACCGTCGTCTCTGCCGCCACCTGACTCGGTCCTTCGCCAGGTTCTACTGGCCTTCCTCCTAGCTTCCTGAGTCCACCGCCTCACCAGTTGCAGCCACAGTTACAGCCAGACTCCCCTCTACCTGCTCCTTCTCCTTACGCTGAGCAGACAGACTCTTTTACAGAGCGTCGTGAGCCTGAGTCCCGTCATGCCTTGCCTGTTCGCGCTATTCGCACTGGTCGTCATGTTCCTCATCCGCGTCCTCCTCGTGTCCCTGGCACTCACGTTATGGCACTTCGTCCTTCCTCTGTTCCACTGCGAGTTCCCCTGCCGCCTCCTCTTGAGTCCTCTCTTCCTGCCGTTCCTGACCTTGAGTCTGACTTAGCTCGTGCTACCAGTCCTACTATCCCTCGTCTTCTAGCCACTGTTGGCACTGACCCTTTGCTTGAATCCACTGCTGCGTCTGCCCTAGTTGCTGAGCTTGTTGAATTTGCTGCCGCCTGTCTTCTCGACTACGCCGCTAGTCTTGTTGCTGAGTCTGAGTCTGAGTCTAAGTCTGATTGTCCT